TTGAGCCATCTACTATTACTCAAGCATTTAAAATACCACATTGGAGAGATGCTTGTTCTGCTGAATTTAATGCACTCATGAACAATGGTACTCGGACCTTTGTTCCACGTAAAGCTCACACTAATTTAGTTGGCTGTAAATGGTTGTTTTGCATAAAAAGAAATCCTGATGGAAGTGTGGCACGCTATAAAGCACGGTTGGTTGCAAAATGATTTACTCAAACACCTGGTCTTGATTTTAAAGAAACATTTACACCAGTTGTGAAACATCAAACCATTAAAGTGGTTTTCACTTTAGCACTTTCTCAAGGGTGGTCTTTACACCAAATGGATGTTAATAATGCATTTTTGTAGGGAAAATTGACCGAAGATGTCTACATGCAACAACCACCCAGATTCTTTCATTTTGAATTTCCTTAACATGTATGCAAACTCAAGAAGGCTATCTATGGTTTACGATAAGCACCTCGAGCATGGCATGATTCTCTCAAGGCTTTTGTTCTTTCTGTTGGGTTTCGAACAAGCCTAAGTGATTCCTCCTTGTTTATTTTCAATAGACATGGTGTACAAGCTTTCTTATTAGTATATGTTGATGACTTACTTTTGACGGGCAGTGATACTACATTTTTAAATCATTTCATGATAAAACTTTCCAATAAGTTTTCTCTCAAACAACTTGGTTTCCCTCATTATTTTCTTGGAATTGAAATGATTCCAACCAAGGAGGGTATGTTATTATCTCAACATGGTTATATTAGAGAACTCCTGGATAAGTTCAATATGGCTGGTGCAAAGTCCGTCAACACACCATTATGTATGACTACATCTCTCAAACTACATGATGGATCTGCAGCTGCTGACTTAAAGCAATTTCGCAGTATCATTGGTGCATTGCAATATATCACTTTGAAAAGGCCAAATCTTTTCTTTGCAATTAATAAATTGTCACAATTCATGCATCAACCAACTCAAGTGCACCTCCAGCAACTCAAGAGAGTATTAAGGTATCTCAAACATACTATTAATCATGCTCTGAGGCTAGCAAAACCACTTCATCTGAAATTACAAGCCTTCACTGATGCTGATTGGGGAGGTAATTTTGATGACAAAATATCTAATTCGGCTTACATAATTTACTTTGTTGGAAATCATGTCTCATGGCTATCAAAAAGACAGAAAACAGTTGCAAGATCATCCACAGAAGCAGAATACCGATCTGCTGTCAATACTACAGCGGAGATTATGTGGTTGCTCAATCTATTGAGTGAACTTGAAGTACCATCTCACATACCTACTCTCTTTTGTGATAATATTGGCACAACCTACTTATGCTCCAATCTAGTATTTCACTCTCGAATGAAACACATTGCTCTAGATTATCATTTTATGCGAAAGATGGTTCAACTTGGAAAAATTCGAGTCTCTCATATTTCTACAAAAGACCAGCCGACAGATATTCTAACAAAGCCTATGCATCGAACCAGATTTTCATTTCTCAGAGACAAATTTTTTGTCATTGATGGTGACCCAATTTTTTGAGGGGGCATAATAACAGATAATTATAAGTTACTCCTATAATTTAGGTGTAACCAACTATTCCTATTAGTGTGTATATGACTTGATTATAAGTTACTCCTATAATTTAGGTGTAACCAACCATTCCTATTAGTGTGCATATGACTTGATTATAAGTTACTCCTATACTTTAGGTGTAACCAACCATTCATATTAGTGTGCATATGACTTGTTATAGTTTGAATCATTCATGTCTTGATGTTAAGAATCGGCATAAGAGCTCCCTTAAGATTAGGAATTAGTTATACAATCATGTATCTTTTGTATCTATAAATAGTCAATATTTATGACTAAAATAATATATTAGAATATCATTCTCTTCGTATGCTTCTCTTTTTAAGCTTTTTCGATAATTCTACTTTAAAGTTATCCCACTAACTAGAATGGTGAACTAGATAACAAGTAGCCCTAGAGACAAAGAAGTCTTAATAGAGCCATGTTTACATGTTTGTATATGTTTATGTAGGTTGTTTGTATATGTAAGAAAGAATCATTGACATGAATTGATTCTAGAAAAAGAGACAGCAGACAAAAGATATAAGTCTCTAGATTTCATTTAATAGTTTATGTCATTGAGCAAAATAATTGTACTAATGATACATACATTCAGACAAAACCCTATGCTTATTTGAGCAAAAAAATAATTAGCTTATCATGTTATTTTCCTTGATCTACAAGACAGTGAATAATAATGCTAAATACATGATGGGACGCACATAAGAGCTAAGAACAAAACTGGCCCATAAAGAAAGACTTGTCAACTAAAACTTCTCAATCTTAGACCACAAATTCTAGATTAGTTACATATTGCATGACAACCAAACTACATAAATTGTGCCACTTCCTCAAGGATAGATTCTACCAACAAAAAACCATTCAATTAAGAATGTTTCATGTAGTGATTCTATTTAGTGAAGAAGCAACATAGTAAAAGTTTAGGGTCTTATTGCAAATGGAATCATCAAGTATATGGATTATGATATGTAACAAAATTTTGACCAATTGTTTTAAGTGAAAGTTGCTTATGTTTTGATTTTTCATTGGTTATATCAATGTTCTAAAGGGACCACAATTGAAGCAATAAGTGATTGACTGTGCTATTTATGATAATGTCTTGTTTTTGAGGTCCCATTTGACAAGATGGCAACTTTGTACAAATACATGGCATCTAAATTTTAGTAGTTAGTTGATAGTCTTTAATTTTGATATAGGGACCACTTCAATTAGCATTTATTTGCACCTTGACTATAGATAAGGCTTCACAAACAAAGTGGAGGGCACATATTCAAATTTCCATGACATTTATGCAAGATGATAAAAAGTTTTCCAAGAAAAATAGTAAAAGGTTCAAAATTCACCTGGTAATAATTACAATCGGAAGACAAAAGAAAAATGTTGAGGAAGTCATTTATAGTATTTGAGAAAGAAGATAAAAAAAAAAAAAAATCATGAATCACCTATTTTTTTCAAACTTATGCATGCTCACAAACAATATTTATTGCTTTTGGGTAAAATTTAGGTGTTTTTGTTACTATTATTGTAAGAGTACTTCCAATGGTGCAATTCAATTTTTAGTTTTTTGTGGGATCTATTAAGCCACATCATCTTGAAGCAATTCATTCAATTTTCACTTCAATGGTGCAACTCTAAAGAACTCAAATTAAGTCTCACATCTTTACTTTATATATTAATATTTTATTCATATTAAATTTTATTTGATTTAAAATAATTATTTAAATTTAAATTAATATAAAATAAATCAAATTAAAATTAAACATAAAATTTAAAATGATAATTAAAATTAATCTCAAATACATGACATATAATTAAAAACATTAAAAATAAATAACATAACAGAATTATTCAAATTTAATTTTCATCATTCTCATGTCCAAAACGTTCCCAAATATGCTCGACTAGATCTCCTTGAAGTTGGCGATGAACTTGTTTTTCACGAAGACTTGCTCTTCTTTGTAGTCTTATTGCAAGATTCGGATGAAGACCGTTAAATGTTTCAGTTGTTGAGTAGGTGTCATCTACATTATCATAAGAGTAATCAAAATCACCTCCATATGTGTGGCGTTCGTCTTCAACAATCATGTTGTGCAATATGATGCAAGCATATATGGTATGCTTGAGGATTTCCATATGTCAGGCACGTGCTGGGCCATGTATAATTGCAAATCGAGATTGGAGCACTCCAAATGCCCGCTCCACATCCTTTCTAGCTGATTCTTGATGTTGAGCAAATAGTTTTCTCTTTTCTCCCCGCGGCATTGAAATAGTCTTGACAAATGTAGCCCACTCAGGATATATACCATCCGCTAAATAATACCCCATATTATATGATGTTCCATTGATTGTATAGTTCATAGTGGGAGCATGTCCTTCCAAAATATCGTTAAACACATTGGATTGGTTTAGCACATTAATGTCATTGTTTGAACCTGCAATACCAAAAAATGTATGCCAAATCCATAAGTTTTGTGATGCCACTGCTTCAAGCATGATTGTGGGCTTACCATGATCGCCTCGGCAAAATTGTCCTTTCCATGCAACATGACAAATTTTCCATTCCCAGTTCATACAATCAATGGAACCCAACACACCTAGAAAGCCACGTGACTCTCCCATTTGTAAGAGATGCGCAACATTTGTGTTGTTAGGCTTTCTCAAATACTCTGCCCCAAATACAACATTCACGCCCCGAACGAATCTTTATAAGCACTCAACTGAAGTGCTTTCACCGATTGGAACATATTCGTCCACACTGTCAGCAGGAGACCCATATGCCAACATACGAATAGCAGATGTGCATTTCTACAATGGTGAAAGACCCATTTTACCAGTTGCATCGACCCTCATTCGGAAATATTCATCATGATTTTCAAGGGCGGCTACAATTCGAAAAAACACATGCCTATGCATTCTAAACCTTCTTCGGAATTGAACATCTGTGTATACTGGATTTTCCGAGAAGTAGTCATTGAATAAATGATTGTGCCCTTCTTCACGATTTCGATCTATCACTGTTCTTCTCTTTGGCCTAGAGGAACTTCCAGATTGATGTTCCTTCTTGAGCATTGACTTTAGTAGTTCTTCATCAGTGTTGTCCATAAATTCTTCTTCAATCAAGTCCCAAAAGAGATCATCTGAACGGTCTGAATCCATTAAAGTGAGTGAAGAATGAAAGAAGAATGAAAGAAGAATGAGAGAAAAAAGAGAGAAGAATGAGAGAAGATTGAGGGAAGAATGAGAAAATAATGAGAAGAGTGGTCATTTATATAGTGATATATGAATAACGGCTAGTTTGAATAACGACTAGTTTGAATAATGGCTAGTTTGAATAACGGTTAGTTTGAATAACGGCTAGTTTGAATAACAACATAATATTTATTATAAATTAAATTGGTACTAATGACCATTTTACATAGGTGTTGATACATAATAAGTACTACACCTTTTCATCATAACTAAAATCCATATTTTTTTCAACTTATTACAATATTTTTCATGAATATCTCGTTGACTATCATTCATCATAGAAGTGTCTTTCGAGAGTAATTGCATTGCCTTATACTCCATCTCGTCCTCCTTACATTGAGCTAGTCTTTCCATTACCGCTACTCTTTTATTCCATGTTTCTTGCACAACATTAGAAGGTGATTCAAATGCATTTTCCTTTGCCTTACTCTTTCTTTTTGCTACTTGTTGTCCCATTGGATGCTCCATTGGTGATGATGAGTTAAACTCATAACTTGAAGGTGTCGCGAGGTTAGACGATGATGAGTGTGCCCCACTAGCAGAATTCTTTGTTCTTTTTGAAGAATTTTCGGTCGATGCTCCCATCCATTTAGGTTCATCCTTTAACAATCGCCATGCGTACTCAAGATTGAATGGTGTACCTTCATCTTGAGCAAAAAATGCATATGCAGCAACCAAGATATCTTTCTCCGAAGTCCCATTTTTCTTTCCATTAACAGCTTGTTTGTAACACCCAACAAATTTTTGAACCAAGCCATTTATTCGATGCCATCGAGATTTTAATTGCCCATGTAGCTTTTCCCGCGATTGTCCACGATACTCGTTATAATTTATAGTGATTCTTAACCAAAAACTCTCAGCTTTTTGATCAACTCCCACAATTGAATCCTTTGAAACATTGAGCCATGATTGGATAAGAAGTATATCTTCATCCCTTGAAAATACCTCTCGAGCTTTTTTTTTAACAGGGCGACTTTCTTCTTTTTCAATACCGACTTAAGTTGAAAATGGTGGAACTTGACTTTCGGACATAGACACAATCGGTGTTTCCGGTTCATGACGAAAAAATTCCATAGATGGTTGACCATATGGTGGAGTTTGGTGATGGAAAAAATGCGGCGGAGTATTTCCGATTGATGACGGAAAAAAAGCAGCGAAGTTTGTTGGCATCAATGGGAATTGAGAATTTTGAGGATTAGGATTTTGAAAATTTTGCATGAAATTGAACATAGATTGTTGATAATTAAATTGATTAAGATCCATTTGACCTAAACAATATTAATTTTGAAGTAAAAAGGTAAAAATTTGGGTAAAATATATTGTCAAATGAAGGCTAATGAGAATAAATTGTAAGAGAGAAAAATTAAAAATGAAGAGCAAAGTGATGAAATTGTGAGAAAGAAATTCAAAATTTATGAGCAAATAAAAATATGAGAGAAATTTTGTGTGTAAAATTTTTCAAATAGAGGTATTTATAATAAGCTAAAGTTTAAAAAAAAATGAAACTAGCCGTTGAAACAAAAAAACAACTATTTTTTAATTAATATTTTATTTAAAGGATCGTTAGAATGCACTTGCACAGTATTTCACTGTGGTCAACTCCAACGACACTTGAGTTGAAATTGTTGTTTGTCAGGCTAGAGGACAATTTGAAGTACTCCCGTCGAAATTTCTCTAAGCAATAAAAAAGAAGGAAGAAAACAAAATGATGGCTTAATGTAATTGCATTAGTCATCTCCACTAAAAGGTAGCATGCTAGAATCTAGGGATCTTATTAGTCATCTCATGATGACTAAAATAAGCATTTTTCTCTATTTTAAACTAAGTTTGATTTAATGTTTTTCTATGTGTATTTAAGAATATAATAAAGTTACAAAAAATGAACTTTTATTAAATTAAACTTGCTAATATGTTGAAAGATATGTATAGGCAATACTATCTTCGTTTTTTTTCCCAAATTAAAATGTGTAGTTAATTTTGTATGGAAATGACCAATTGTATTACTTTTGGCAACTCTTTAGAATGAATGGCCATATTACATTTTTCTTACTTATTTTACATGTAACTAGTTTTACAAAAACCAATTTCTTCATTGTTATAGAATTTCAATTTTAAGGTATTGATCTTTTCTTTTATTTCCATTTTAAACCCTATTTAATTGCGCAACCTCTAAAAACATCTTGCTCAACTTCTATTTTAAAGCCTCTTAAATTGAGTAATCTCAAAAAATCGCGCCGAATCTTATAAAATTGACTTGTAAGACGAACGAAGTCGCCCACATATAAATACATTTATAAATTATATCTTATCTAATATAGGATTCTCATCAATTTATCCTAAAAAATAAGTCACTTGCATATGAATCAAGTGGACTATATATACATAAAAATATATTTATAGTTGAGCAAGCAGACATATTATGAAAACATGCTATATGTCTTCATTCATCTTGAAATTTTCTTGTTAGTTACACCATAGATTCATCTAGGCATGCTTCTAAACTAATTAACCTGTAAACAATGAAAAGTAAAAATGTCAACAAGTTTTAGAATAAACACATGATAAAATCAGATTCTTTTTGTATAGTGCATGAACGGAATCTGGTCTCGGTCTCTGCAATTATTTTAAGGAGAAATTTCAAATTTAAAAAAAATTGCAGAGACGAAAACCAGATTCTATTCGTACACTACATGAACGAAAAGTGGTACGAACCCAACTTTTAATGAATTTTCTACATCTGACATGTAATATGAAAATAACAGCAGAAACGAAAGCAAATCATGCAGGAAATTACTGTTTGAGGCTATGACAAAAATAGTATGAATACATAATGATGTGTCTATATCTGGCAGGTAGTATAACAACAGTTTTTGCGGAAAACAACTGTTTGATGCTATGACAATAGAGAGTTATGTATTGGCCTACCAATTTTGGCACTCACATTATCATTAATGTTTGCTGCTCCATTCATTGTTCCACTGTTATTGCTGGTTGGAATTATTGTTTGACTATTTTGTACAGTTTGGGGACCATATCGGTACATATTCATCGGCTACAATATAAACAGACAATAACTATATGCTTAAGACATAAGTTGTTTTCATAAGCTATCTCTGAGAAGAAGATAATTACCTGAGAAGCGTTTTGCATAAGATGATAGTTCATGTAACGAGTGTATTGCTCTGGAAGAGCTGGAGTTTGCATCTGATTTTGGTAATTAAAGGCGCCAAAAAGAGGAGTTTGACTCGTTAACGTCGGATTTGGTGTCTGAGACGACGGTACTGACGGATCAAAAGGCATTCTCGGTAATTGCAACGGATTTTGGAGCGGAGGAAATGAAGGTGTAGGCATTCCCATGCCCATTTGTGTCACGTAGTGCTGAAATCCAGGATGCATCATTGGTGTCATGCCAGATCCCATCCACATTACCTAGCGAAACGATTTTAAAATTCTTTTTTTCAGTTCTTAGTTAACAATGCGATACAATTTTCAATATGTCGCGTAAAATTTATATACCTGAAGTTGTAACTGAAGTGATTTCAAGTATTCAATTGCCTCTTCTAACATTGATGCTTTGTCTGTCTGCACATACATCGCGTACTTAGTTTTAAAGCCACTGTGATTAAATCATATAAAACGGAGAATCGGTTTCGATAACAAACCTTACTGCTGTGAGGTATGAGTTGTTGCAGTGCTTTCATCTTCTCATTAATCCTATCTCTTCGTCTCTGCGTCGATAAAACATTAACGCTTCTAGTAAGTACAATTTTTTTTGAAAAAATTTAGTCTAACTAGAGCGAAGTAACGTGTAAGGCCCTTACCCTTTCTGAAAGATTATGCACTTCAGCAGCCCGATTCCTTCGACCCGACCCTGACCTTTGAGACACCTTGTTTGACAAGGCTGATTTAAGTTCTGTGTCCTATTGACACAAACCGCGTAAAATGATAACAATTGGGTTAAAGAATCAAAACAAAATTAATCATGAAGGAAAAATAGATAGATGAAGCTTCACCTCGCTTTGTTCCACCGAATCTTCGACATCCATCGCTTTTCTCTTTTTTCCATGACTTCTTGTAGATAAGGAACATGTTTTTTCAAGACTACTTCCCGAACCACCGGAAGATGAAGTAAAAGTCGGCGATTTCCCTTTCTCATGCCTAGGAATTGTTGTTCTCTGAATATCGTCTTTGACTCGCTGAGGCTCAGCCGATATAGTATTTGTCCAAACACCGTCGCTTGATACCCTGCTTACATCCACATCTTGAGGGACTTGGTTGCTACCACAATAACTCAAACCAACTGTCATCGCCGAGCTCTCTCTAATATCACATTGCGACAGATTCCCCGTAACTTTGTCTCTTAAATCTCTGTCGCCGATATTACATGCTAAAGAAACATTAGGAAGTCTTGAAAAGTGAGAAAAGTTCACGACCTTGTTCGTTCCACACAAATCATTGTTTTTTTGCAACGAATCAGGAACATGATGATGAAACCTAGGAATTGAGAATTCCTCGACAAAAGACGGTTTCGTATTAGTCGGTTGTGAATCGTAAGAGTCGACGTGACAAGGTGGAAGTTCGGATAAAAGATTCGAACACAACTCTTGTCCGATTGGATCCTCAAGAGGGTATTGATGGATCCACGAAACAGTTTCATCATCTTGAATCAAGTTGCTTAATGTTGTTGATTGAAGATTCTTATGAACATGTCTTGAATTCATTGGTTTCTTATTTGTTTGGCTATGCAATACTACTTGACCATTCTCCCATAGAAGCTCCACAAGTTCATGATCAAGCCTGTAATATTGTTATTAACAACATGGTTAATGGTTAATCATATTTTAAGCTAATTTAATTTGGATAATAACATTATTCACATACATACCCCATAGATTGCTTCTTTTGATTGGTGACAAGGGTATTATCACTCCCAAAATTCCATTCAGGAACAGTGTTGTTCATCGCTAACCGAATAGAATCGAACCGAACCAAAAAGGAGAGAAATTTAGAATTTAGAATAGAAAATTGGAAACCCCTTTTAAGCATGATGATTAAACATAATTTTATATTGATTAAAAAGGAATAAAAAATTAAAGGGTTTAGAAATTTGAATCATGTGTGGAATTTAACTAGAACAAGTACAGTTTTTGCTATTCTCAACCAAGAATTCCAATTCCAAGAGTCACAAAATTGGAAAATTTTAGCCTCAATTATTGTTTTTTAAAGTACATGTGCATTCACAAACCCAGAAGAGAAAAACAAACAACAAAATTTATAACAAAAACATTAAACACAACAAATTGGGCAAAATTTGAGACAGACAAAGATTTTTCAGACACACATAACAGAAAAACATGTTCTGAAAAAGCAAAAAATAAAAAATAAAAAACAAAGAAATGTTTCATAAATCACATAAAATGAAAAATATGAAATTTTATTCATGTATAAGTTTTCATGATGATTGTGTGTGATAATAATCACATTTACATGAGGAGCATAAAAGAAGAAGTTCACCTGAAGTAGAAAGTAGGTGGAAGCTTTGACACAGAAGCTCCTTGTTTGTTCCTGCTTTTTCACCTGTCTTTAGTTCTCTTTGAGTGTGTCCTTATGCTTTGGGAAATGTGAACATGAGTTTTTAACAAGATTAAAGACAATGACATCAGCATATTTAGATAGAGAAATCTAAAATCCATGGTAAATCACTTATTTATAAATTGGATTTTAGATTCAAAAGTTTCATAGTTTTCTTAGGTCAATTGATTTCATTATGATAATGGTTTTAAATAGATAAATAAAAAGTTGACTTACATGAGCATTATAATGATTATTGATATTCTTAAAACAAATGCAGAAATATAAATTCAATTAACTAATTATGTTTGGTTCGATTTGATTTGAATGAATGTTGTACAATCAAAATTAAACAATTAACTAAGTAGATTGATTCTAAGTTGAATCGATTAAATTTAAGGTTGTATATAAATTGGATAATTCTATCAAATTTAACTTGAATCAAATTATTAAAATTAGTTTGAGTCAGATGAATGTCTAATAATGACAATTTTTTAAAAATTGAAATTGGTAAATATAGTCATTTGATTGAATCATATATTCACTAACAACAAAAAAATCATAAATATTTTGGGTTAACCAACAATTTACAATTTCTTCTAGGTGCGAGTGGACCTCTCTCACACAGCATCCAAAAAAATATGTTTCTCCTTCACTCTGAGTCACAACATCTTCATCGAACATTCATCGGAAATCGCTAAATAACTTGAAGATAATTACAATGGTCTATCATATATAAGCGTGATCTTGAGACACACGCGAATACAATTCAACTCAAACTTGTAAAATTCCAGCTCAATTTCACAGTGACTTGAGTCTCATATTGCTAACTTTTATTTTGCGGGTACCCCATTCTCTCCCTCTTTTTTGTTCATTGGAGAATCATCTCAATTGCGCCGAAAACCTTCCACAGTGGTTCTTGGTGGTAAAATTGGTTGCAATAGTTGTTCCAACAAACACTCACAAAGTGTGAGTAAAATTATCGAATTCACGTAGATTATTCTTAACTCGACAAGACCGACAAGACTGAGGTGATTGTACTTGTTATCGCATAATTGTAATTGCAATGGGGTGTGCTTAGCGCGATTGATTGAGTTATGTGCTAATTATAAAACTAATAAACTACGCTAAAATGAAGAAATATAATAATAAAAATGATTAAGTCCCTCTTTCGAATCCTTTATGTGATTAACCTAAGTTTAAACCTATAATGAATCTTTATAAAATATGACTCTTTTATAGAATACATTTATTCGAAAAATTGATCTCCAAATAACTCGCTTTGCCTATTGCGACATCCCAACGCTCTAGAGAGAATATAATCACAACCTATGAAAGTTTTATAGCACATAAAATCATACTATTTTACAAAATATGGTGACACAATGAATTGATCGCTGTCACGACCTCCCAGCACTCCTGAGAGGATATAATTGCAACCTATGAAGGTTCTATGGCATGTACACCTAATTTTACAAGTGGTTATTTCCTATTACTAGTAATCATAACAGTCCCTCAATATTATTTAATTTGGATGTACAAATATACTGTTAATTCTTAGTTGTTATCACTACTACAACAAGTACCTTTTGTAACGCCACCAAATTTTATTTTACCATGGGTAAAAAATCCACCGTGGTAGAATTTATTCAACTAGGCATTTTCTTTTTATTTCCATTTTTAAGCCACTTTTCACCATGGTGGTAAGTTTCAACTGTGGTAAAAAATGTTGAATGGTCACGAGTTTAAATCTTGTTGTTGTTGTTGTTTTACTATTGTATTTTTTATATTTTATTAAAAGACATACAATAACGGTTGTATTAAACAATCGTTGTTGTATGTAGCACATGGTTATGAGTTCGAATCTTGTTGTTGTAGTTGTTCTACTGTTGCATTTTTTACATTTTATTAAAAGACATACAACAATAGTTGTTTAATACTGTTGAAAGTAATTCCTTGTGTCGAAGTAGTTTGCTCGACAGAGACAAGGGAGTTTCGAAAAGGTTTGATTTGATTTAGAAGTGTGGAAACAATTTGTTATACACATATTTGTTTTAGATCTAGAATCGATAAGATTTGATTTGGGTCTAAAATAGATAGATTTGATTTAGTTCTAAAATAAGTATTTTGGACTTTTATAGTTTTGGGCATTGGCTTAGGGAGCAAGCTAACCTAAATCTATAAATAGAGGGAGTAACCCCTATTTTTGTAATCAAGTCAATTAAGTTGTATTCACATAATTTTTCATTGCAAGTGAATAATAAAGTTTTCCACAATTTGTGGACAGAGAGAAACTCTGCAGAAAGTAATTTTTTTTCTTTCTTCATCTTTTATTTTTCATTGCCATTGTGTGGTAATATTAATATTGAGCATAAAGATTGATAGAAATTCATCACAGGTTTTGATGGGTTTCCAACATCTGGTATCAAGAGCTCCGATTGAGTGATTCAAGGGAAGAACGATCAAGAACGGCCGAGGAAGAAGAAGAAGAAATTCACGATGGCGATGAATTATGCTAACGAAAATTTTCCACCAAGTCTCGCAATTATTAAAGGTGATAACTATGAGAATTGGTGCAAACAAATGAACGTTATATTTTGTTTTCAAGGTCTTTGGGATCTTGTGAAACATGGATTAGAACCGCTTAACGAAGGCACTTCAGAAGAAGAAGAAGAAAAATACAGAGAATCAAAGAAGAAGAATTATAAACATCTATTTATAATTCACTAATGTGTTAGCCCAGACATTTTCGAAAAGGTTAGTGATGTTGAATCTGTAAAAGAAGCCTGGGAGATTCTAAAGAAATCATTTAGAGGCGCTGAGAAGGTGAAAGAGTTGAGGTTACAAACTCACAAACTAATGTATGAATTTCTTCAGATGAAAGATAGCGAAAGCATGTCTGATTTTTCACTAGAGTTACGAAACTAGTGAATCAAATCAAGATTTGTGGAGTGATGTTAACAACAAGAGATGTTGTTTCGAAGGTCTTAAGATCTTTGGCTCTGAAGTTCGACCATGTGGTATTTTCCATACAAGAGTCGAAGGACATGTCATCTTTGTTGAAGGAAGATCTTCAAGGGATGCTTGAATCTCACGAACAAAGAATGGCTAAAAGAGCTGCAGGAAAGTCGAAGAGTGATGTGGCTTTATAGGATCAATCTGTAAGAGACAAGAAAAGAAAAGGAAAGTGGTTCGAAAACAAAGATAAAGGTGGCTATAACAATTTGACTACTAGAGGAAACCAACACGAAGAAAACGTGTCGAATCAAAGAAGATCATATCAAGGCAACCAAAGAAGTGGTGTTGCAAATAGAGGAAGAGGTGGTGGTCGAAAACCTGACAAGAGTCATATTCAGTGTTTCAATTGTCAGAAGTATGGTCATTATTTAAGTGATTGTCCATAAAAGTGAAAGAATCAAGAAAGTGATGCAAAGTTCACAAAGTATGAAGAAGAGGAGATGATGTTGATGGTTACTACAAGAGATAAAGAAAAATTCAAGGATCAATGGTACTTGAATTCAGGATGCTCATCACATATGTGTGGAAGGAAAGATTGGTTTGTCAACTTAAAACCGTAAACAAAGAACATGGTGAAATTTGCAAACGGAAATACTCTAGCAGCTGAAGGTATGGGAGATGTTTTGATTATGAGGAAATATGGAAATAGGCCAGTAATTTCCAATATGTTGTATATACCACGCATGAAGAGAAATTTGCTCAGTATATGGCAGTTGGTCGAAAAGAATTACAAAGTGTTGGTCGAAGACAAGATGATGAGAGTCGTCAACGTGAATGGAAGGTTAATCTTGAAGGCTCCCATGTCTCAGAATAGGACTTTCAAGATTGAACTTAATGTGATGGAGCACAAGTGCCTTTCGACTGCAGCTAGCAAAGATGAATGGATATGGCACTATCGACTAGGCCATCTCCCTTTCAGAGACATCAGAGATTTAAAGAGAAGAAATATTGTTTCAGGATTTCCATAAATCGACATTCTAAACGAGGTATGTGAGGAATGTGTGAAGGCGAAGCAACATAAGAATAACTTCAGCAAGGATGCAGGAAGTAGGTCAAAGGCTATTCTCGATGGGAGGTAAAAAATACTTTGTTACATTCATAGATGATTTCAATCGACAACTATGGACTTACCTGATCAAGAAGATAAGTGAAGTGATCGAGGTATGTTCTAATTTTAAGTCTATGGTCAAAAGATAAAGTAGTTGAAAGCTCAAAGTTTTGAGAAATGGTGGTGTTGGATAATATGTTTCGAAAGACTTCGACAAGTTATGTGAGAAGGAGGGGATTGTGCATGAGGTGGTGCCACCATACACTCCACATCATAATGGAACTACAGAAAGAAATAATAGAACCATCATAAGTATGGTAAGAAG